GGGGGTATCACAATCCCCAACTTGAAACTATACTACAAAGCTACTGTGATAAAATCATCATGGTACTGGCAAAGGAACAGACCTGAGGATCAGTGGAATAGATTAGAAGATCCTAAAACTATTTTCCATTCATAGTTTTACATAACCTGCATAGTAAGGAAATACTAAAAAAAACTAGAAACTGGACAATTCAGCAAGATCATGGAAACCATGTGTGTTGGGAGCTGCCTGTCAGCAAATGCTGTGAGAAATTCTGTAGATATCAGGACAAATCTTGCAGATGGGGTGAAATAAATGACCTCTGCAAGATGTTGTATAGTGCATATTTCTTGTTGGGTCATTAATACTTTTGAAAGTTCAACTGGAAATATTAGTGTGGAATAGTGCAATTTTCTGAGGGGTGACTTACACTCCTATTTTCCAGATTTCTCTGAATTATTTCTTTTCCCAACTGCTCATTGCCCTGTTGAGCAGATATTATTGATTAGAGGGGCCTTATAGGGCATTGGATAATGGGGAACTAGCAGGATGTTCTAGTTATCATAGATGCATAATAAATTATCATAAAACTTAGAGGCTTAAAATAAATATTATATTTTGCTCATAATTTTGTGAATCAGAAAATCTGGAAGAGCTTGGGATAGCAGTTCTCACTTGGAGCTGCAATTATATGAAGGCTATACCAGGCTGACTATACCAAGGTGGCTCCATCACATAGTTGTTAGTTCATTCTGTCAGCTGTCCTTTACTCTCAAGCCCCTTCATGTGGCCTCTTCATGTTGTCTGGGCTCCCTCACAAAATGGTAGCTTCAGAATAGTCAGATTCTTACAAAATAACTCAAGGTTGAAATACGAGTGCTCTAAGATATATGATAGAAGCTGCATCCCCTTTTATAACCTGCCTTGGATGGCATGCAATGATATTTCCATCACAGTCTACTGGTTTTGAGAGAGTTACAAGCCTACTGAAATTCAAGAGTGGGTGACATGTGCCTACCTCCTGAAGAGAGAAATGTCAAGGTCACATTGATAGTAGAGGAGCATGTGGTATATGAGATATTGTTGTGGCCATATTTGAAAAATATACTTGTCACATAGGGTTAGTCAATAAAAATAGAATGTGTGAAGTCACCAAATTCAAGGTAAAGTATAGAGGTTACCAGATTTTCTGGAGAAACAGACAAAATTAGAATGCCGAAACTGTAGAAGGTTTACATTTTTGCATGTACAAAAAAGAGCATAGAGATCCAATAATAATATAGGAGTTTAAACAAATCAAGTTAAATTTCAGTGAAGACCTCATTTTGTATTTTATACTCCAGAGTACTTTAACAATAATATTATTATGTTAATTCATTCATTTTATAAATTTTTAGTGACAACCTACCACCATGTAGTAATAATAGAATAGTCAAGGACTATTCTAGTCTCTTGGTATACATCAATAAATAAATGTAACAAAAATTTCCTACTTTCATTATATTGCATTGTAATGGAGCAATGATAATAAAATAGATAACACTGCCTGCAAATTAAGTAAATGGTAGTTAGAGGTGGAGCTTCATGTGATTTCAGTAGCTTGCTCCAGCCTGAAGGACATTTGGGGCTTGAGATTCGGCAGGTGGCTGTGCAGCAGACAAAGCAGTGAGATCTTTGGGAAAACACTATATAGGTTAAAGGGTTTTTTGTCTTGTGAGTTCAAGAAGGCTTCTGAATATCCTTAACCTTTTGCTTTTCCCACATCATTTGCTTTGTATCCATATTGTGAGAATTGTTCTACTTATAGCCATCAATGTCCAAAAGAAACCTCTAGAGCCCATGCCCTGTATTCCCACTCTTTGTTACAGAACTTTGGAGTTCTACAAAGACACTTGCTATTTCCTTATGTGACTTGACAGTAGAATGAGACAGAAAAGAGTATGCCATTTCAGAGACTAGATCCTAAGAAACCTTGCACACTTCTACTTTGCTCTTGGTCCTCTGCCATTGGCAGGCATGCTGGGGTGGGCCGGCTGGAGGACAAGGCATATGTAGACCAGAGCCCAGCTGCTTCAGTCTAAGTAAGAGCCAGCCCACATCTAGATGCATGAATGAGTTCAGCCAAGATTCCAGATGTGTGAACAATAAACTTTTTAGATGCTATGAGTTTGTGATCATTGTACGGGATTTGAGAACAATAGACAAGTGGGAAAACAGAAAAAGCAGAGCTCCTTCTTTTGGTGACATGCTTACAATTCTGTTTTGAAGTCAGTCAGCACAGGTCTCTGTCATTGCTGCTGATGCCACCTCCGGGGTGGGGTGTGCGGAAGAATAATCAGAGTCTGGATTATCATAACTGCCTCTAGATTCGAGACAGGGTGAGGTGTGGGGGAATGAAGAGGAAAAAAGCTTCAATTCTGCCTGAAAAATCTTATATTTTATGTCTCTATGTCTGAGGGAAAACAAAAATCATCCCTAATGTCTATTCCAACTGAGGTATGAGGGAGGAAGCCTCAAGGTTAAATATTCCACTTACTCCTTTGGTGCTCTTTCTTCCTTTAACTTATCAAAGTCCCTGGGTAAAGTAGACTTAGTTGCATCATCATCATCATGATTTGTAGTAGTAATAAAAAGCCTATTTTGGTAGCATTATTGGAGGATGATGGCCGCACTATCCCTGAACTATATGAGTGTGTCAGTCTTGGCCATAATCTCGGCAAACTTCAGTCCTTTCCCAGACTGCATTAGCTAGGATGGAGGGACAAACTAAGGAAAGGCAACTAGTTTGTGTAATTGCTTATTTTCTGTCTCTTCTCCCACTGAAGTGTAGGCTCCAAGAGGTCTGGGACCATGTCTATGTTTCTCATACATTTTGAGGTTCCAGGACACATAGGAAACCCTCAGTGATGCTTGTCCGCAGAAAACAGAAGAGAACATGGGAAAGAACAGGGGAAAGAAGGAAACTAAGAACAGTAGACTGATCAGAACCCTAATTAAATTCTCACACAGAGTTTATTCCTGTTTTAACTAGTTCATGATGTTAAGATGTTTATTGGTCTCTTACTCTACACATGGGGGTAGAGAGGGAGACTGATAGGGGAGACCCTACTCCTTTGCATTAACTTTCAGTTTTTAATCCTGTATATTCCCCAAAAAACCGAACCAAAGCAAGATAACAACTAAAATAAGCAAAGATGAACAAATTTCCGTATTGGGAGATTTTGGCTTTATAACAGGAAACACAATGTACACAAATCCCCTAGCCTTTAGGCTAGAAAGAGGATTAAAAACTCCAAAGTGCCCAAAATAAAAGACAAACTTATAAGTTTCATACATTGTAATGGAGTTTCCCGTTATTTATCTTTTTCCTAGTACTTTAGCCTAGCTCAGTGGCTTCTAAAACTTGAATGTACATTCGAATCACTTACGGATCTTGCTAAATATTCAGTTTTATTCAATAGATCTGGAATGAAGCCTGAAGAGTTTCGGTTTTAATATGCCCACAGGTGATGCTTCATACCTCTGACCTGACCACCACACTGGAAGTATACAAGGGACTTGAGGTCTTCACCTCCACGCCAGGTGTGCTAATGCCCAGTCTCTGCATTCCGGTTTGTCCCGGACGTCCCTGGCCTTCCGCCCGGAGGGGAGGAGACAGCCGAGGGCGGAGCGGGAGGGGTGGCGCGGGCTCCGCGCGGGTCCTGACTGAGATCACCTCGGCCCCCCAGAGAGCCGGCGGAGCTGCGGCGGCACCGGAGGGGGCGGGTTCGGCGAGGGTGCGGCCTCTGGCAGCGGGGCGCACGACTTGCATCCCCCGTGTTCACCAGGGCCACTCCAGAGCTTCGCGGCAGCCTGCTGCCCCACTTGGCCATCCGCTCCGTGCTTCTTCCTCGCGCCCGCCTCCTCTTGTTACCTCCCGTCTCGTCTCACCCTTCTCGCTCCATCCCCGCCGCACACGCCTTCATCCGAGTGCTTCAGAGAGCCGGAGGCCGATCGCCGGGGCGGCAGGGCGCAACCTTAAGCGGTCCCCAGCTCGACACTGAGGGGCACAGGCAACAGCATGGACACCAAGCGCTGCTTCACCAACCACTTCGATGACTACCAGGGCAGCCTGCTGGCGGGCCACTGCGAGGAGGCGGTGGCGCCCTTGGTCACCGCCACCATCGAGCGCATCCTCCAGGAACTGCCCCCACTTGAGGGCAGCGCTGAGGCCAGGGGGGCGACGGCCGGGGCGAGCGGCTGCGACGGGGGGCTGTACAGCGGCGTGGCCGGGGTGGCCTACATGCTCTACCACGTCTCGCAGAGCCCGCTCTTCGCCGCGGCCCGGGAGCGCTACTTGTGCTCGGCCAAGCGCCTCATAGACGCTTGCGCCCGCGCCGAGGAGTGGGGCGAGCCGGACGCCGACACCCGCGCTGCCTTCCTGCTCGGGGGAGCGGGCGTGTACGCGGTCGCCACGCTCGTGTACCACGCTATGGGACGGTCCGACTACGTGCAGCCGTTGGGCAAGTTCCGGGCTCTGTCCGCGGTCTGCGCGCCCGTCTCTTTCCTGGAGTGCGGCTCCGATGAACTGTTTGTGGGCCGCGCGGGCTACCTGTGCGCCGCGCTCGTGCTCAAGCAGAAACTCGCCCAGGAGGTAAGAGGCAGCCTGGCCGCGGTGGGGGCGCTCGCCACCTGCCCGGCGCTACCCCGGAATCCCTGTCTCCCGCAGCACCGCCCCTGCATGTTCTCCTTCTCTCTGTTACTCTTTGTCTGGCGCTGTCATTTCTTTATAAGGTTTATCTTTCTCTTTTGTTCTTTTGCCGCTCTTCTCGTTTTCAGCCTCTCCTTTGTTGGGATTTCGCGACTTTGCTTTTCATTTCTGTTTTACACTGAACGTGGCATCATCCCAGATTCCTCCTTGACCAGTAGCTTTTTGGGAACTGACGGTGTGGTCTTTTCACGTGAGACTTCAGAAACTCAAAAATGGAAGGGATTTCCTTTCTTTTGACCCTGCTGTCAAAATCTGGGGCACCCCCGAATGTTAAGAGTACCGGAAAAGTAAGGAAACTTGTAGGGGCTGATGTGGAAGTAAGTTGCTTCCTGGGTTCTGTAACCAAGAAAATTGTTAGTCTAATGTGATTACTATCTTGTTTACTATTTAGTTCATATTGTGGTTCTCGTCAAATGCATATCTGAGGGGAGTAACCGCTTTTCAGATATATAAATGTATACAGAAATGTACCCCCACTTTGGTCAAATGTGCATTTTTCATGTTAAAATGTGTACTTGGGATAGTCCAGACCACATTCTTGATGAGGAATTTCTTTTGTACCTGGAATCAAACTCAGGACCTTGTGCTTGCAAGGCTGGCATGGTGCCACTGAGCTAAATCCCTGGCCCCTTGGCGAGGAATCTTGATGAATAGCTTTTCAGTGACTTCTTGAAAGGAATTGGATTTCACAACTATGGAGATATATACATATATTTTTTCTTTTTTTTCTGGATTCCCTTTGAATAGAGCATATGCCAGTTCCTGTGGAGTAGAGGGGGAAAAAACCCTCTAAAGGATCATAGTACTAGAACTGAAAGAGAGGCACTTTCATTCATAATCCACTGGAGGCACATATTGTTCTAGGGAAGAAGTGACACATTTAACTTGGCTTTATTTGGGTGAGAAGGGCATTTGAAGAAAAATTAATGGTATAAAGTGTACCTTAAAATATAATTAACTTAGATAACCTCTATAGAGGCAGATGATAATTTTTGATTTACAAGAAGGTGAGGTTTATTCAAGTGAGAAAAAAGATTATTAAAGAATGTGCAGTGTGCTAGCAGGGCAGCAAAGGTCTGTGTGACAAAGTTGTCTTGAAATAGTTCACTCTGTTTCTGAGTCACTGTTATCTGCTAGCAGTTTCCTAGGGGCCCTTCCAGTTGTATAAAACCTTTTAGAAGGCCACAATATTTACATATCATTTGCATTGCATTTACATCTGCTTCCCAGACCTTGCAGTCTGGTGGTAGGCAATTTTCAAATTCATTTTTTTCCCAGTTGTTTTCCTTAAGCTCGCTTCTTCCCTTTTCCATACTTTGAGGCCTCTTCTACAGAATGGAATGGCAGAGTGGAAGACCCACCGGGTCATATACCCAGAAACAGAGCAGAAGGACTCTGTCTCAAAACTAGTGGTCCAGGACCAGTCTGCAGTGCTGATCCACAAAGACATTTAAAATATTTCTTCCACCCCCCTATCAAACGAAATCTGTTTTTTATACTAATCAAGTGAGGTGCTTTGGCTCCTGTTTCCAGGAAATGGAACAAACTCCAAAGTTGAAAAAAAAAAAACAACTCAGTCTATTAGATCACATAGTCCCAGTGCTAGCCTCACCTTCCGAAATTCAAGAAATTCAGACTTGTAAGGTGTAGGGTAGGGTCTAAGCAAGCCATCTTCACCCCCAAGTCTGAGTCAGCACATGGTTCTGCTCTCAATAGATGATCCGTAAACATTGATCAAACTGAATTTCCAACTTGTGTGCCATTTCTCTATGAATAATCTGTCATTATGTCCAGGGATTGCCTCCCTCCAATGTCATTTATATTCACCTTTCTCTGGCAGTTACCTTAGTTATTACCCTGGCTTATATCTTCTCCACATTACTTGGTACATCTTTGCCACCTGAGAAGTACAGTATACTGTGATTAGTACATTATAGTCTCAGCTGGATTCTCCCATTAAAACATTCTGTCTACCTTTAGGAAAGCAGTTTTCTTTTTTTAAAAATTTTTTTATTGGTACATTTTAGGTATACAACACAATTACATTTCTCATTGGGAATTGTACCTTTACATAATGCATCTTGGTTCTTATTTTTTCCCCATCCCTAGCCCTCCCTTCACGCCCTCCACCTTTCCCTATTTACAAAGACTTTATTTCCATTTTTTCCATTTCTCATCATTTTTCCTTTCCCTTCTTTCCGGAAAGCAGTTTTCTTAACAATGCTTTTCATTATGTCATTTGCCTGCTCAACATCCTGTGTGGCTCCCTATTATCTTTTCTCCTGTGGCGTCTCATCTCACAGTTAAAACTACAGTACTTAAAATGGCTGACAAAGTCCCACATGATTAGCCCCATGCATACCTACTTCACTTCTTGCTTACTTTTCATCACTTATACTGCTCTTCTTGCTGTTTTCAGCTTTGTTCTGTCTCAGACTGTTTGTACTCTCTGTTTTTTCTGCTTGAAACACTTCCTTTCCATATTGTTATAGCTAGCTCCACGACTGTCTATGGCTCTTTACCTCCTTGGTGAGGACTTTCCTGTCTGCCCTACTTAAAACTGCAACCTCCCTGGGTCCACCCTCCCGCGTTATTTTACTCAATTTATTTGTGTATTCACTAGTTAGAATGTAAACTCCATAAGGCTAGACATTTTTTGGTTTCATTGCTATATCCTAAGCATTAACATACTTCCTGGCCCATATTTAGGTACCCTACTTTTCTTTTCTTTTTTGGTGTTGTTGCAAATATTGTTTACTCTATGGTTTGCTTTATCACTCATCTGTAGTGACATCCCAGTTATCAGTATTTTTCTTTATGATGGTGCTTCTGATGTTATATTTAAAGAAATCCATTCCTGTTGCTGAGGTCTCCGTAAATACTTGTTGAATGAATGAATTGCATGAATTATAGTTTCTTACAAATCTTTCCTTAGTGCCAACCAACCCATTAGAGCACTGGATCTTAAACTTTAATGTGAGTAGGATTTACCTACAGATCTTGTTAACAAAATAGAGATTTTTATTTCGGATTACAATGGGTCCTGAGATTCTGCATTTCTAGCAGGTCCCCTAGATGATGCTAAGGTTGCTGCTGGTCCATAGACCATAATTTAAATAATAAGGCAATACAGTAGTGCATAGGTTTTGGCATTATACCAGCCATGCCTACTGAGATATATTATAAGTGTTTATGAAGCTCGATAAATTTATTTATAAGGCTGTCGTTTAGAATGCTGATTGCTATATCTTGCCATGCTTTCATTATAAGGATCCACAAGAGGAATTTATTTCAAGATTTAAAAATAGAAGTAGGTATGCTCCTCCATAGAATTGATTGGATTATTTTAATATATCATGTATCTATGTGCCTCACTTTGTGGTGGCTACTAGGAAGTATGTGCCAAAATTAGGGGCCATATGAGCTAATATAGAGTGAGTACCTTGTAACATGTGTTTTTAGGTATCAGCACTTGCCCCTGGGTTTATCTAATTTGTTCTTTCCTTAGTTTATCTTTCCTAGATTTTTATCCTTTCCATTTGATTCTATTGTTTGGACGTTTATGAGATTCATAAATGAAAAATATTTTGTGTATGTACAGAGAGACAGACATACAGACAGAGAAAATCACCATATCCAAGAAATATATTTTCATTTAGCTTGACCCTCCTAGAAATACTGGCTTTGAGGGTTTTTGGTCACATATCCTTGAGCAGTGGGACACTAAAACCCCAAGAAATTGTACCATATATATTTATATTAGGTCTATTCTGCTTTCCACTAGTTGGTAGAGATGTAACAGGAATGGTAGAAGGGTCAGAGGAAGCTGAGGACACCAATTAAAATGACTTTCATATAATGTAAAATTTCTGAGCCTCAATTTCTTCGCTTGTAAATGGAGTAATAAAAACTTCATTGAACTGTTTTGCCATTCATTCAATTGCTCGTTCATTCATTTAATATCAGGTTTCTCTCTGGTGCCAGGCCTCTTTCCAGATTCTGTGATTCAGTACTCAACGACAACACAAAACATATAATTTGGCTGTGATAAGTGATTTGAAAGAAGTAAACAGAAATGGGGCCATAGGTGGAATATGGCACGGCTGCTGCTTAGGATGGTTAGGTAGAGAGTTTGCAAAAGGGACATTGTGCCTCATCACTGGAGTATGAGAATTAAGTGGCTGCCTTAAGAGTAGGCATTCTAGGCAAGGATAAAGACCCTAGAGTATGAAATGGCTCGGAGGTTCCCAACAAATGAAAGAAGGTCAGTATGGCTGGAGCAGAGAATGAGAGATAGAAGAGTTTAAAACCATGAAAGGAGACGTAGAGAAGCTAAAATCAGATCCTTTAGGATCAGGTCAATCAAAGTCAAGAGTTTGCATTTGTTTCATATTTTAATATGGGAATATATTGATCTTATTTACTTGTTTAAAAGATCACCTTTGTGCTTTTTTTTTTTTCTTCCTCTGTACTGGGGATCGAACTCAGGACCTTGTGCTTGTGAGGCAGGTGCGGCACCACTGAGCTAAATCCCCACCCCCACACTTGTGTTTTGAATGGAGAATGTATCGACAATATTAAGAATGACTAAGGAGTTTGGGATATAGCTCAATGGTAGAGCTTGTGCTTAGCATGCACCAAGCACTGGGTTCAATCCCCAGTGTGAAAGCATAGTACAAAGAGGACTAATTTTGCGGATCTAAACTCCTTTTGTGCTAAGAACTCCTTCATCATTCTGGTAAAAGGTTTAGAAACTCTTCTTAGAATAACATTTTTAAATATATAAAATAAGACACATAGGATTACAAAGGAAGCCAACTCACTGCAATACAGTTATCAAAACATTTGAAAAATGTGTGATGCAGTAGCATTTGTGCTTTTTA